CACCGAGGCTCTGAGTTCAAGCCCCACAACCGACAGGGGGATATTGGGGGGAAAAAGGAAAGGCTGGAAATGGCACTTTGGCTTAAATGGTAGAGCACTAACCTTGAGTACAAAGAGGTTCAGAGACAATGTCCAGGCCCTGCGTTCAAGTGCCAGGACCAGCACAAAAAAAAGGAAAAAGACTAGGCCTGCAAAAGTAATATGTATTCATCTAAATACTTAACTGGTCTGGTGGCTTATGCCTATAATCCTAGCTACTCAGGAGGCTGAGATCTGAGGGTTGCAGTTCAAAGCCAGCCTGGGCAGGAAAGTCCACTAGACTCTTATCTCCATTTAACAACAGAAAAAGCTGGAAGTGGTGCTGTGGCTCAAAGTGGTAAAGTGGTAGAGTGCTAACCTTGAGCAAGCTCCAATACTTGCAAAAAAAAAAAATCAACTAAAAGTATCAGTATGATCAAAGTAAAAAGTGAAAGTTGTTTCCCAGCCTCATTTATTTACCAACTGCTAAATAAGTATCTGTGCTCAGCTCAGTGTCTGACCTTGGTCTTCTCAGAGACTTTGTGAGAGAAGCCAGCTGCTTCCTGCTTGAATGGAAGAGGGGCTGGGACAGGAAAAAATCAAGTAAATAACCAGTTTGATTTCAGAGTGCTGAGGTCGCACAGCAAGGGGAGACATGGGAGGAAAGACGCAGCTTCCTCACCCCACCTGGCATTCTTCTTATGCTCCACCCTCTTAAACCGCTTCCTGTATTCCTTGGCTGTCAGTTGCTTCCACTTAGAATTAACAGCACCTCCCTGGGCTGGGGCTCAGGGGAGAACAAAGTGCAAAAGCACAGAGCAGGAGCCTCTGGGAGGAAGAACTTGATTCTGGGACTCACCTGGGAAACCGGCTTTGTGTCACTAGCGTAGTATCCAGAGTGGGGATGGGGAGGGTGACTGAGAGTGCAGAGGTCCAATCCAGAGATTCTTGGGGTCACCATTTTTCAAGATCTACTAAAACCTAAGCCCAGGTTCTGGCTGTCCTGACAGGAAGTGATCTTAGAGACCTAATCCTAAACCTGGTTCCAACTGGTTCACCCTCTTTCTTTCCCTCTTTGGGTCTTAGCTTCTCAATATGCTAAGTGAGGGTATGTGGGTGTGTGTAGGACTAGACACATTTACTAGAGAAGTAAATTGTTTATCTTAAGATACTGTTATATATTGGCTTTTGTTATATCCACAGATCCTGAATCCTAATACAGAGGATGACTTTAGACCAGGTGTTGAGTCAGGCTTGAGGAAGTGACAGCTAAACTGAGATCACAACATCATAAAAGGAATCAGGAAAGTGTTCTATGTAAAGGGGACTGATCATTGATCTAAACCGGGCATGGTGGTGGCACTCGGGAGGCAGAGGCAGGAGGATGGCCTACATAGTGGGTTCTAAGCTAGACCCAGTCTTACCTGAGTCCCTACCAGCCTTACTGTAATGAGTAGACACTTTAACCTTGGGGCCCTATCTCTCTTCCCTGTTTGTTGTTACTGAGCCAGGTGATCATGTGACCCAAGGAGCCAATCAGAGACTTCTAGAGAGACTTGCACTATAGTAGGGCAGAAGGGAGCTTTCTCTGGGATTTCATAAACCTTAAGGACCACTTAAACCTGTAGTTAGTAGGAATCATGTTGCTGCCAAGTGGCTAAGATTCATCTGAGAATAAAGCCAAGTGGAGGCAATCACAGATGTGCCTTAGAAGGGGACAGAGTGGGTTGGAGGTATGGCTGAGTTGGTAGGGCACTAGCCAATGAGTGAAATCATCAACTACTCAATGTTAAGTCCTAGTCTTGGACCAAAACAAAAACAAAGGGACAAGAGTCCTCCATGAAAGCCTTTGACTGAGACCCGCCCACAGCTGGCTATATTTAGATCCAGCTATGAAATCTAGCCAGTTCACTTCTTACTACTTGGCTCTAATTTATGCCACTGGCAGAGTCCTCATGGGGCTGGGAACCGGTCAGGACTGCCCTTTCCCTAATTGGAAAACTGGTGATTTTTGCTGTCAGGAATGCGGACAATTAAAATGCCTGCTGAAAGGATAAGCTAAAGTCTAAGCTGGCACCTCTGAAAGGGAGACAGGAAAATCGAGTCTGTGAGAGGCTCCTGATGCTCATCACCTGCTGAGATGCCTGCAAGACTAATAAGATGCTTTGAGAGATTGTGAAAGCCTGAGCTTCAGTCCCGGGATAAACTTAACCACAAGGTAGGGCAGGGCACAGAGCAGGACCCAACCCTTCCAGTTCATTTCTGATGCCTGTTACTAGATTTGTAGACAAAATACTGTGGGGCTGAAGGCAAATGTCCCTGGGGTCTTCCCTCAATATCTGAGCCAACTCTCACATTAGATCCATTATTTTGCTAAGGGCAGAGGCCTTAGAGTTGGGACTATATGGGTTTGGCTTTTTGCATAACTAAGATTTCAACTCAGTTCTGCCACAAACTTACTGAGTTGCCATTGGTGTCACTGCACACCATCCCAAGCTCAATTTAGGATTTCTCCTGTGTCCTACACCTGTTTGATGTGTTGCTGTCTCAATCAGCACTCAGATCAAGCTCATTGCTCATCTCTAATTTATGTCCTAAACACTTCCTGAATCTGTTTTCTGCTTTCCATCTCATCTCCATGCCACTCCAGTCCCTCCAAATTTCTCATCTGCATTTTGCATGGTGCAATCAAAATGGTTTGATTAAAATGTCCATTAATGGGGTCGTTCTCCTGGTAACACCCATCAAACGTCTCCCTTAGATCTTGGAAGATCCAAGTCTGAAAGGGTTAATGTGGCCTTTGGGCCCCGGCACGGTGGGCCTGGGGCTGTCTCACTCTCTTCTGGCCTCCTCTTCCTCAGTCCTTTCTGATGCCCCAGCGACACCAGCCTTGTTTCCTCCAGCTCCATCTAGCTCCTCTAGCTGTTGCATAACCATTCTTTCAGTTTGGAATGTTCTTGCTCAGTCATGTCTTAGCCTGGACTCTCATCCAAATGTTATTGCTTCAGGGAAGCATTTTCTGATCCTTCGAATCAGGTCAGGGCCTGGTGGCCTCATTCCCACCCCTAGTCACTGTGTCTGCTCCTGGTTCTCAGGGACTCCTTAGGCTGCTCAGCATTTATTCACCAAGTGCTCCCTGGTGGGTCTGGTTTGTACATACACAGTTCTATATAATGGTGGCATCGCCCTATGCCTGAAGTTACTTGCTCAGCAATGATGGGTCCGGGATAGTCAAGGAAATAATCTTTTGCTTCTGCATTGATCCTCTCAACCAGGAAAGAAGAGCCTGAGGTTAGGTGACCAGAGGTCCAAAAGGGATGGTTTCTGGTTAGCTCCATGCCTGGCTCACCAAGGCTTGTCTGTGATTAGTGATTTGGGCCCTAGGTAGTATATCCTGGCTAATGCTTCCAGAGGTCAAGGATTGAGGCCCTTTATTTACTTGTCAGTCATGGGCTTGAACTCGGGGCCTGGATGCTATCCCTGAGTTCTTTTGCTCAAGGTTAGCACTATATCATAGCTTTCCTGCCCAGGCTGGCTTTGAACCATGATCCTCAGATTTCAGCCTCCTGAGCAGCTAGGATTACAGGTGTGATCCACCAGTGCCCAGTGTTTGAGGCTGTTTAAAAACCTGATCTTGGCCTGACACTGTCTGGAAGGCAGAGAACAGGTGACATTAGGTCTTAAGATGAGTTGTCCACAAAGGCCTCTGTAAGGTCCATTCCTGGATGATGAGCAGACCCCGCCCAGTACCTGCGTTACCTAGGCAACTGGGACACCTGGAAGAGGTCACATCTGTATCCGCTGAGGTCACATCTGGATCTGACCAGGCCACACCTTTCTCCCACCTGGTCCCACCTCCCTTTACCTGGACACACCTTTCCCCCCCACCCCCTACCCTAGATAAGGCCTAACCTAGGGCCAGTCGCCCTCTTTGCCAGCCTCGTGGAGTGCCAACCTGGCCTGGTCCCAGCAGGTCTACTGAATAAACCTACCCCTTACCTGAATATCACGTGCGTGGTGCTGTTCTTACTCTGCTACCTCTTTTTATAAACCTAACAGCCTCTAAGAATGAAAAAGAATTGGGCTTACTGCAGCAGCTCCAATTCTCCACTTACCAAAAACAAAACCTAGTCTTGGTAACTAAAGTTATTCTGCCGTTATTCACCCTCCTATTCCTCCCCTGTCCCCATTGCCCTGCTAAGCTCCTCCCATCACAGGGTCTTTGCCCTTTTTTGGGGCTAGGGGTGGTGAGGATTGAACCCAGGGCCTCCAGCATGCCTGGCAAGCACTCTACCTCTTCAGCTACTCTGCTGGCTCTTTTGTTTGTATTTTGTTCTTGAGATATAGTCTAGCATTTTTGCCCTGGCTTGCTTGAGCTTAGGGATTACAGGGGTCTGCCACTAGATCTGGCTTATATTTGTTATCTTATGGCTGTTATGACTTCCTCTCTGTTAGGATCTTTTTTTTTTTTGGGTCTGGTCATGGGGCCTGAACTCTGGGCCTGAGCGATGTCCCTCAGCTCTTCAACTCAAGGCTAGTGGTAGAGCCACAGCATCACTTCTGGCTTTTTTTCTTTTTGCTTATGTGGTGCTGAGGAATGGAACCCAGGGCCTCAGGCATGCAAGGCAAGCGCTCTACCACTGAGCCACCTTCCCAGCCCTCTGTTAGGATCTTTCTTTGTTCCTCTCTAGTCTCAACCCCAGGGAGTGCTTGACACTGGGTGTGGTAAATGTCAATAATTCTAGCAGGAATCTAGAGAAGTTAGAGGATGTGTGTTGGAGGCCAATCTGGGCTATCTATATACCAAGGCCCTTTCTACAAATGCCAACAGTTCAGATATTACTTGGTGGTAGAGTACTTGCTTAGCCTATACAGGGCCTGGGTTTGATCTTCAGTGCCACCAAAAAACCAAAATGAAACAAAAAACAGAGGGTTCTCCCCTTTGATTTTCAAACCCTTTTCTTCCTTTAAAATACTTATCATTATTTATAACTGCTTTATTAGTCTGTTTTCTTATCTCCCCCTTTCTCTCTGCATAAACTCCATGAAGACACAAGCTGGTTGCCTTTGTTGTCACATTCACAGCACCCTGCACTGTGCCCGGGCAGAGCTGAGAGTCTCAAAACTTCTCTCATGAATAAAAGCCTTGCTAGTGGTTGTATCTCTAGCAGTCAGGAACTCCTTCTTGCTTCTGGATTTCGATCCTTGTTAATAAGTCTTCTCCCTGGTCTATGGCTCTGAGTGGAACAGATTTCAGGCTGCCTGGTGATCACTGGTCTATGTGGGAAATGCTTTTCTCTGGAATCACAACACAGCTCAACTCTAAACTCAGATGTCAAGCTAGGCCTCACTCCTGCTCTACTGCCAGAGGACTTAGGCTTTCCTGAGCCAACTGCTTTCCTCTGGCTCAATGATCCAAGCCCCTCTCCTAGGCCCTAGGCTTATGCCTGGGACTCTAGGTTGCAGTTTGCTGAAGCCACAACTGAAAAGTGTGGGAGGTGGGGAGATGAGACTCAGGCCTGAGCCTGAGCAAGCAAGGAAGAGCCTGTGAGGCTGCAGCTGAGACTGCTAAGGTTTGGTGTGCGGCATAAACCACTCAGGGTGCTGGGCCTCTGCCAGCATGTGGGCAGGAATCGGGCACAGGGCACAGTTCAAACAGCAGCATTTACTTTGGTTTTCACATCTCCATGGCTCTGGGAACCTTCTCAAAGTCTGGCTCTTGAGTCCTGTCCTCTCTGTCACTCCTCCTTCAGCCACTGCAATAGCTGAGGTGTGTAGTAGGTGATGATGATATCAGCACCTGTGTGGGGAAGCAGGGGAGGAAACAAGGTGTCAGTTCTGAGCAGACCTGGGAGATGAACAAGGCACAGGCAAGGAGGCCACCATGAAGGTTGCCGCCTGTAAGGACACAGCCTAAGTCTAAGCCTGGTTTCAGTCATCTCCAGACCTTGGGTTAGGCATTTTCTCTTTCTGGGCCTCAGTTTGCCAATGCATGAAATGCAGGGGGTGAGACAGGTGACTTCAAGTTCCCTTCCTATGCTGGTATGTGGAAGTCAAGGCCCGGCACTGCAATGAAACTGAGCTACAGACATGCTGAGACCTCCTCTAGAAATAAGGATATCTTAATAAAAGTTAATAGAATTGGGGCTGGGAATGTGGCTTAGTGGTAGAGTGCTTGCCTAGCATGCACGAAGCCCTGGGTTTGATTCCTCAGTACCACATAAACAGAAAAGGCCAGAAGTGGCACTGTGGCTCAAGTGGTAGAGCACTTGCCTTGAGCACAGAGAAGCTTAAGGATAGTCCCCAGGCCCTGAGTTCAAGCCCCAGGAACAGCAAATAAATAAATAAATAAAGTTAATAGAAGATGGGGACTTTCTGCGAACTCTAGAGGTGACAGAGGACATTCTTTGGATTACAGATGTATCATGAATTGTTGAGCTCCAGGAAAGCCATACTTCCCTAGATAACTGGGGTCCTGATGGCCCTGATTATTCCCCTGGATAGCTGGTTTTGCCTATGTATAACACGCTTATTAGACATAAGCATCCTTATCTAGTTTGCTTTGTTTTATGTATAACACCTCTGATAAGGCTGTTAAAGCTAGTACTAGCTCTGTTCTGGGGGGGCTGCTGCTCTTTGAGACAGGAGTCTACCATGCAGTCACTGGCCTTTTAATAAAGACTCCTCTTAAAATGTGGTATCTCTGTTTTCTTGCTGTACAAACTTCTCTCCTTGCCATGAGGTCACCTTATGGCATCTAGGAAAACTGGCTGATCCTAGGCCACACTGTCTCCCTTCAGGGATCAGTGGTCAGCTATAGTACCCAATTTGCTTCCTGTTTCTTTTTGTTTTTCTTGTTGGTCATGGGGGCTGAACTCTGGGCCTGGGCACTGATCCTTAGCTCTTCAGCTCAAGGCTAATGCTCTACCACTTGAGCCAGAGCGCCACTTTCAGCTTTTTTTCTGCTTATATGGTGCTGAGGAATCGAACCCAGGACCTCATGCATGCAAGGCAAGCACCCTACCACTGAGCCACCTTCCCAGCCCCTTTGCTTCCCGTTTCTCTGCACCTTTCCAGTGAATGGGGTAGGTCAGGGTCTAGTGTTAAATCTCTGGCTGCCCCTACACCCAGAGCTGGAGCTGAAGCTGGAATCCCTCCCAACGACCAGCATGCTATGCAATAGTAACAAAACGTGCTGCTGTTTATGGAGCAGTACGTATATGTCAAATACCCACAGTATCACTGAATCCTCAGGATAACCATGTACCCTAGCTTATAGATAGAGGCCTGAAAGTGGACAGAAATGGCTTAAGTTCTCAAAGCAAAAAAGAAGTAGAAACTAGGCACTGGTGTCTCACACCTATACTTCTCAGGAGGCTGAGATCTGAGGATTGTGGTTTAAAGCCAGCCCAGGTAGTAAAGTCTATGAGTCCCTTATCTCCAATAAACTACAAAAAAAGCCTTGAGTATAAAAGCTCAGGGACAGTGCCCAGGCCCTGAGTTCAAGCCCCAGAACTGGCACCTAAATAAATAAATAAATAAATGGAGTTCAAGTGCTGGGTGCTGGTGGCTCATGCTTGTCCCTCCTAGCTACTCAGGAGGCTGAAGAAATCAGAACTTTCAGGCAAAGAGTGCAGGCTTCAAATGATTTTGTTTTCCTATTTGGGCAAAGTGCCCATCAGTCCCCATGGCAGGTCACAAACCCTACCCTGCCTGTTTACCTGCTCTGCGGAAGGCGGTCATGGCCTCCAACACGGCAGCCTTGAGATCAAAGGCCCCAGCCCGGGCTCCATGCCACAACATAGCAAACTCTCCAGACACGTGGTACACAGCAAGCGGGAGCTCAGGGTGCTAAAGGAAAGCAGTCATGGGTATGTAGGTTAAAGTGGAGGGTGCATGTGCTCTGGAGTATCCCTCCCTCCCTGCCCATGCTGTGATGGTCTTGAACCCTATTCTGAATCATGGCTGCTGGCAGCCCAGCCTGTTCTAGGGCTGTTCAATCAGAGCTGTTGAAAGGCCCCTGCAAACTCAGGTGTAGCAGCTAGATTGTTAGCTGGGAGGAGTGAGAGGGAAGGACTGCTTGGGGAAGAGTGCTTCCAACTCAGAGTTCAGAGCCCCTCCCTCTAAGTCCTTGTATCCACAGGTGAAGGCTCTGAGCCCCCTGAGCCGCTCCCTTTGCCTGGTACTCACCTTGTCCTTCACTTCCCGTACAATGTCCAGGTAGGGCATTCCTGGCTTTACCATAAGCATGTCGGCTCCTTCCCGAACATCCCGGTCCTGAAGGATGCAGAAAAAAGTGGGCAGGGGGGCTAGGAAGGTGGCTCAGTGGTAGAGCGCTTGCCTTGCATGCCTGAGGCCCTGGGTTCCATTCCTCAGCACCACATAAGCCAAAAGAAAAAAGCTGGAAGTGGCGCTGTAGCTCAAGTGGTAGAAGGCTAGCCTTGAGCTGAAGAGCTGAGGGACAGCGCCCAGGCCCAGAGTTCAGGCCCCACGACCAGACCAAAAAAAAAAAAAGGGGGGGGGGCAGGGGATGACAATGCTGGAAGGGGACAGGCTGAGGTTGGGGTTGGGGAGACCCAGGCTCTGGTCACTCACCACTGCACGGAGGGCCAGGCCCCGGGCTCCAGGGGGCAGCTGGTAGCAGCGGCGGTCTCCAAAAGCTGGGCTTGACTGGGCTGCATCCCTGCAAAGCAAAGTCACCAGGATGGACTCCAGCTTTGCCCCCAAGTGGCATATAAAGTAACAGACCCCTGCCTGCCCCACTTACCGGAAAGGTCCATAGAAAAAGGAAGCAAATTTGGCACTGTAGCTCATCACTGATACCTGTACGGAGAGACAGTGGGGGTATAGGCCCAGCCAATCCTTTCTAGATGCCTCAGGGTGAAAAGACGAGGATACAGGGCCTCAGCTAGGAAGCAGTGCCGATAGCCCAGACTCACTGCAGACTCACAGCCTTGGTTTCCCAAATTTGAGGAAAAGTCTAGACAGCTCTTAAAGTCCTCATCTGGTGCTGTCTGATTCTTGGTACTCGGAGGCAGGATTTGTCCTGGTGTTCTCCTCCCTGCCCATGTCCCTCCCTGCACGCCTTGCCAGTACCCTGTTGCCAAGTCCGTGTGCCATCAGGGCCTCCTTGATAGCTTCCACGCGCCCATCCATCATGTCCGACGGAGCTACTACCTGACATCCTGGAGAGCAGAGGGTGGTGTTCAGAACTCCCAACCCCTCCTACCCACTCTGCCACCTCCCAGTCCCTGCTGGGTGGGGACTTTACTCACCAGCCTTGGCATAGGCAAGTGCCACCTCAGCCAGCCGTTGGCGGCTCTCCTCAGCCTGGAAAGCTCCCTTCTCACTCAGAAGCCCTGTGGGACAAGATGGCTGGGCTTCCAGAACACTTTGGGCCCAGCTTGGGGGAGAGCTGGGCAAGTGGAGGTATGTGCCTGCAGGGCTGGTGGGAGGGAGGGGAGGAACTAACCACAGTGACCATGGGAAGTGTAGGGGCACAGGCAGACATCACAGGCCACCAGCAGGCTAGGGAAGGTCTTCCTCAACAGCCGGATTGCCTCTATAGTTGGGGATTCCTCGGAGTCTGCTGAGGAGCCCCGCTCATCCTAGAAGAACATGGTATATGTGATATATGAAGATCTGGGAGCCACACTTGGTAGAGCACAGCCAGGCCCTTTCTTGTAATTACATCATAGCCACTGCATGGGGGACCAGCCCATTTGCAGAGAGGCTAGCAAAGATGCAGAGAGGGGGCTTGACTTATTTTGCTAGGGTATTACAGCCCTACTTAACTTCCTGGCCCTACACAGTGTTATTTAAGAGCAGTCATGATGGTCATCGACCAATGACACCCATGTTAGCACAAAGTAGGAGGGGAGGACTAGGCCAGTGTGTAAACCTCAGCCCACTCTGGCCCAGCCTCCCTCCTTCAGCCTTCCTCTGATTCTTCACCTTGGGAACTCTGCTGGGGACACCAAAGATCAGCACACAGCGTAGGCCATCTTCCACAAGTGGCTTCAGCATCTCTTCCAGCCGGTTCACTCCATACCTGAGGGGAAGGAAGGGAGAGGGACTGAAGTAAGCAGGTTCCTCTAATCCATCCCTCCCCACTGCACCTTTGATAGAAGCCAAATTACACACAGCAGCAGGAGGGCATAAAATCCCACAAATAGCGCAGGGAGGAATGCACCCACCCAAAGCCAGGCACCAAAGCAGCAGGGTTATGGAATTAGTTGTGGGTGAACCTCCAAGGTTCTCTTACTGAACTCTCCCTCTAGCTCAGCTTCTCTCTGCAACAGCCTTTGCTATGGTGACCAAGGTGATGGAGCGAGTATGCATTATCTTATCAGGCTATCTCCTCCACTGGGCTATAGCTTCAGTCCCCAGAAAACCCTTGTCCTCACTGAGCTACAGTTTACCTGTCTGGATCTGCCGCCTTCTGGGTCTGCTGCTTCCTTCTGGTACCCTCAACCATGAAATCTCTTCCCACACCATCCTTTTACCCTCCCTGCCCATCTCTTACCTGGCCACTCCTGGGAGGCTGGCGATGGGCTGGATGTCGTCAGGAACATCCCTGCAAGAGCAAGGTGGGCTATGGAGTGGGGACAGTGGGAAGGGCCACTGGTGGTAGGGTGAGTGGGAGGGGTGGCCAGGAAGCTGGGAAGGGAAGTAGGAGTGGAGATGGAAGGATGGGGGTGGGATTCAGGTTCTGGTGCCCTTGCCTAGCCAAGCCCAGGGCCTGAAATAAGAATAATAGGAACAACAAGAATAACAGTGGCAGTGAGAGCAGCTGTACTCAAAGAACAGTAACCACAGGAAAGAGTCTGTGCTTAAGAACTTGGACTTTGAAGCTAGAAGGTCCTGGCTTCCTATCCCATGCATTCTGATTATTGGGCAACTTTGGCCAACTTGAACCTTAGTCCCTTCAACAAAAATATACTATTTTGTTGTGTATGTGTGTGTGCATGGGCGCGTGCCAGAATTGGGGGCTTGAACTCAGGATCTGTGTAGGAGCTATCCCTTAGCTTTTTCCACTCAAGACTGGCACTTTACCACTTGAGCCATAGCTCTACTTCTAGCTTTTTGGTGATTAAATGGTGGTAAGAATCTCACAGACTTTCTCAGATATTAGACTTCATAGCAGCTAGGCTTATAGGTGTGAGCCACCAGCACCTGGCTGTATTAAGTACTTATTATATACTGGGTACTATTTTAAGTGAACAAAATAGACAAAAGTCCTTGCCATGAATTGACATATCTATTTATCTCTCATGTGAATGCTGAAAGGAATGAAGAAAAAAAGAAGAGAAAGAAAAAGAGATTGAGCTAGGCCCAGCGGCTCATGCCTATAATTCTAGTTACTAAAGAGGCTGAGATCTGAGGACTTTGGTTCGAAGCCAGCTTGGGCTGGTAAGTCTGTGAGACTCTTTTTTTTTTTTTTGGGTCCATTCGTGGGACCTGAACTCTGGGCCTGGGCGCTGTGCCTCAGCTCTTCAGCTCAAGGCTAGAGCTCTACCACTTGAGCCACAGTGCCACTTCCGGCTTTTTTCTTTTTGCTTATGTGGTGCTGAGGAATCGAACCCAGGGCCTCGAACATGCAAGGCAAGCGCTCTACCACTGAGCCACCTTCCCAGCCCCTCTGTGAGACTCTTACGTCCACTAAACTACAAAAAAAGCTGGAAGTGGACTGTGGCTCAAATGGTAGAGTGCTAGCCCCCAGGCCCTGAGTTCAAGCCCCAGAAATGGCACCAAAAAAAAAAAAAAAAGATTGAATAAAGTGCTTAGCACAGTACCTGGTACACAGTAAGTATTCAGCAAATGTTTGTTACTATCATTAATAATCACGATTGCATGATTATTTTAACAATCATGTCTAACATACATAGTACTATGCCACTGAGAGAACCTATTGCAGAAGCTCAGGGTAACTGGCAAAGGTACTTCTTTTACAAATGGGGTGAGCTCATTTCCAGGCTGTGTCATCCCTAAGACTGCTATTCTTAACCTTTAGGCCACTTCTAACACTTCTGATTCTAACTGTCAGCCCACTTTAACCCCTGATCATCAGACTGATGTCTGCTTCAGTCACACACTGCCCCCTACCCTGGGCAGATCAGACCAGGCCCATTCCTGGGGACTCACGTGACAAAGATGGGGTAGATGAGGTTGGAGGCACTGAGGGTGGTGTTGGCTCCCTGCCAGAACCGAAGCAGTGGGTGGAAATACCCACTGTGCAGAACCGACTGGGGCTGCATGGTGAGGGTGTCAGCTGGATGCAATCAAGGCTCCTGGGTTGTGTGCTGGGACTTAGCTCTGTGGGGGCAACAGGAGACCATGAGACATGAATCCTATGTTCAAGAGACGGTCACATCTAGAAGATGGCTCTTCCACATCCCTGCTGGTCCACAAGGTAAGAAGAGTGAAAGGAACCCTTCAGAAGCTTCAGAGGAATCTGGATCTAAAGACAGAACACTGGCATCTCTCTATCTGTCTGTCTGTCTGTTTGTATATATAGCTGTTGCTCATGGGGCTTGAATTCTGGTTCTGGGTGCTGTTCCTGAGCTCTTCAGTTCAAGGTGAGCGCTCTACCACTTGAGCCACAGTGCCATTTCCATTTTCTGGTGGTTAATTGGAGATAAGAGTCTCATGGAGTTTCCTGCCTGGGCTGGCTTTGAACCACCAATCTTAGATCTCAGCCTCCTGAGTAGCTAGGATTACAGGTGGGAGTCACCAGCACCCAGCATTTTTTTTTTTTTTTGGTCGGTTCTGGGGCCTGAACTCTGGGCCTGGGCACTGTTCCTCAGCTCTTCAGCTCAAGGCTAGTGCTCTACCACTTTAGTCATAGCACCACTTCTGGCTTTTCTGATTATGTGGTGCTGAGGAATCGAACCCAAGGCCTCATGCATGCAAGATAAGCACTACACCACTGAGCCACCCTCCCAGCCCCGCCCCCTTTTTTTTTGCCAGTCCTGGGGGTTGAACTCAAGGCCTGGTCACTGTCCCTGAGCTGCTCTTTGCTCAAAGTTAGCACTCTACCACTTGAGCCACAGTGCCATTTCCGGCTTTTTCTGTGTATGTGGGGCTGAAATTGAACCCAGGACCTCATGCATTCAAGGCAAGCACTCTTCCAACTGAGCCACATTCCCAGCATTTTTTTTTTTTAAGTAACAACTAAGCTGGGCACTGGTGGCTCACACTTGAAATCCTAGCTACTCAGGAGGCTGAGATCTAAGAACTGTAGTTGAAGCCACTCTGGGCAGGAAAGCTCATGAGACTCTTATCTCCATTTAACCACCCCAAAAAGGTGGAAGTGGACCCATAGCTCAAGTGGTAGAGTGCTAGTCTTGATTAAAAAAAAAAAATCTAGGAAAACTGGGCGCCAATGGCTCACACCTGTAATCCTAGCTACTTTGGAAGCTGAGATCTGAGGCTCATGCTTAGAAGCCAGCCCAAACAAGAAAGTTTGTGAGACTCTTATCTCCAATTAAGGGTAAGAAATCATAAAAATCAGAAATAAAACAAAAAAATCTGGAAGTGGAGGCTATGGCGTAAGTGTAGATGCTGGCCTTAAGAAAAAAAGCTCAGGGACAGTGCCTAGGCCCTGAATTCAAGCCCTAGTACTGACACACGAAAGTAACAATTTACACTGGGTATTGGTGGCTCACACCTGCAATCCTAGTTATGCAGAAGCCTGAGATCTGAGGATCAGGGTTTGAAGTCAGCCTGGGGAATGAAAGTTGTTGAGACTTTTCTTTTTGCTGGTCCTAGTACTTGAAGTCTGAGCCTGGTGCTTGTCCCTGAGCTTTTGAGGTCAAGACTAGAGCTCTACCACTTGAACCACAGCTCTACTTCCAACTTTTTAAATTTAACTGGAGATAAGTCTCATGGACTTTCCTCCCCAGGCTTGCTTTGAACCTTAACCCTTAGATTTCAGTCTCCTGAGTAGGTAGGTATACAGGCATGAGCTAGACTCCTGAGCCTGAGACTCTTTTATTTTTAATAAACTACAAAAAGCCTGAAATGGAGCTGTGGCTCAAGTGGTACAGTGCTATCCTTGAGCAAAAGAAGCTCAAAGACAGCTCCCAGGCCCCGAGTTCAAGTACCACAAGACCGGTAATACACACACACACACACACACACACACACACAGTAACAAGTTACTAGTTATTTACACATACACACACACACACACATACACACACACTGTAACAAGTTACTAGTTATTTAACCAAAGGATTGGAAATAAAAAAGAAAACCAGAATGCATCCTTGCTTACTCATACTTCAAAAAGCACTGGTCCAGCCAAGATTTAAACTTTGCATATCCCTATGATCACAGCAGAAATCTTAGAAAGATACAGGTAAGCAAAAAGAGAAAAAGATCCTGTAATTCTACCTTCATCAAAAAAAGTGCTGCTAACTCCTTGGTGTATGGTCTTTGAACTAGGCACAACATATACAAAGCCACCAAATAGTACCTGTAAGGCCAATAGAGGGCCAGACACCCAGCTGCCGTCCCCACCCAGCAGCACCTTGTCCCCTTTACCTGGAAAGACTGAGCTCTCTGCACAACCTCCCACACCCAAAGCCTCTAGCTTCTCCTCCTCTTGGGCTGATATTTCCTGCTTTGCAGTGTGTCTTATGAAACAGCCCTTGTGGCCCAGCTTATCTCATGCCAGTAGAAGGAATTTCTGCAGGGCAGGGCCCAGGATGAGTTCATTTCACCTCTCCCTCCCAAGGACTCTGCTAGTAAACACTGATTACTATGAAGTAGAAGACAGTATGAGTACCATGCCAAGCAAGGGAGGGACAGAAGACAGAAAGAAGCAGAGCATCACCTTTGTGCCTTGAGCCCATATGATGTGCCAGGTGGAGCCGGCATATTCACAGGTGACTTCCTCCCAAGTTCACAAGCTGACTAAAAGTGCACTGCAGAGTGAGGAGCCTGGCACATGACACACTAGGGCCTTGGGTACCATGTGAGTTGGGAGGGTTTGCATTCTGTTCTGCAGGTGTATGCGTTCAGCCAGGCTGGGGAAGGGAGGACAGTGTGCCTTCAGGTAAGGGGATGGGAGATGGCTGCTCACTGTCCTGAAGATAGGCAGAAGAAGAGGGGACAAGGGGGCCAGAATAAGCCAGGAAAAAGTTCTGAGCAGGGAGTAAAGCTGTGGTCAAAGCCACCGTGAAGATAAATCTTGTGGCTGCACAGAGCAGACAGGAAGCAGAGAAGCACAGAGGCTCTGAGGAGCCAGGAGGCAGGAAGGAAGGGCCATCTTGAGTCAGCCAAGAGTCAGTCTCTTAGGGCAAATGCTCCAAATTCGCCTGACCTGGAGGGCAGCAGGGCCAGGGCCAGGGCCAGAAGATGATGGGAAACTAGAGTGGGACATGACTGGGAAGAGTTCCATTTTAGATATTTCCTTTTAGGGGTGCCTGGAGGAACAATGAATAGCCAAGCAAAGAGAGAAAATTAGAGCTGCAGGGTCTGGTAGGCCCTAGTCCAAATGCTCCTTGTACAAATGGATGCTTAAGCTACAGAGAGGGCAAGGACTTACCTAAGGTCACTCAGCAAGTTAAGAGGCTAAAACAGGACTAGAACACTGGTGGTCAGTGTGCTGGTGCAGTCTTTCTGCCTGTCCCCTGGGCCCCTTCAGCTTCCCTACAATCAGCCCAGGGGCTCCTCTTATCCTATCTTCCTCCTTGCTGGGGTAGGAATTATCAGGAGCTACACAAGGTCTCACTCAGCTACCACACCCCTGGGTGGGCCAGCCTCATCATTGGATGCAGGCAGGCCAGAGTTTCCCAGGGCTGTCTCAACAATCATTCAGCAGATAGGAAGTCCAGTTTGTCTATTTTCTGTAAGACTTCGTTCAAGTCCGCTAGGAGCAGGCTTAGAGAGGTTAAGTTACTTCCCCAAGAATACACAGCTAGTGTGTACTAGCAGCTAGGGTTTGACTTTGGTCTAGACCCCAAGTGCAAGATTGTACATACTATACCTCCATATTACTAGTAAACATTTGATTCAGTAGGTAGGTGTCTCTTCTCACCATACTGTTTCTGCTTTGTATGCTGGCAAGCTGGAGAAAAAACAGAAACTATACTTCATGTATCAGTAATGTGCTGGGCCCTGGAGTTGGAACTTTATATTTCTATTATCTTGTTCAAGGGCAAGAACTGTCCTGACTTTTAGTGATAAGGAAACAAAGGTTCAAAGGAGTTATGTGACTTGTTCAAAGTCATTCTGAAAAGTCATTCTGAAAAAAGCGAGTGTGTGTGTGCGCGTGCGCTCGTGCGCCAGTCCTGGGGACCTTGAACTCAGGGCCTAGGTGCTGTCCTTGAGCTTCTTTTACTCAAGGCTAGCATTCAGCCACTTGAAACACAGTTCCACTTCAGCTTTTTTTAGTAGTTTAATGGAGATACAAATCTCACAGTCTTTCCTGCCTGGGGTGGCTTTGAACTGTAATCTTCATATCTAAGCTTCCTGAGTAGCTAAGTAGCTAGGATTAGAGGTATGAGGCACCTGGCTAAATCAAACTTTACAACCACGTCTATGCTCTGACTTATTCTCTTGTACATAACTTTTGCAGCACACCCTAGATTCTGGAATTCAAACCTGTATTCCACTGTCTAAAGGAACATCCTTAAGAAGCCTAAGGGAACAACAGACACAGGCTCCAGGCTTATCAGACGCAGGGTTGCTAGGAGCTGGGCTGTCCAAGTTTCACCCTGAGGATCCTGGGAGAGGTAGGGAAGGGAAGAGAAGCTAGAGCAGATTCATTGCAAACTGAACTTGCATTGGGGATGGTCAGAAAGACAACAGACTGAGAAACAGATCTCAGTGCTGAAAGAATTTAAAGACTGAAAATTAGCGATCCCACTTAATTCCTTCCATTTTAATGTGGAAGATGGTCTTGAGATGGCAGTGAGTGAGGCACAGAGGAAGGAATTGACCTTGAGGCTCTTCTTGGCTTCTAGTGCACTGTGACCTCTACCACACAGATGCATTCTGTTACAAACAGTACTTAGTAAACATCTTTGCAAAATGTCCTGAACAAACTTTGTACACAAGGCCAAGGTGTGCCTTGTGAAAAACCCTCAAAATTTGGAACATTTTCCCACTGGGGGAAGGGACTCTCTCCCCCCAAATTAAGGAAACTTGCACCTTTCAGCTTAAGTCCTATGTCACATCATTCAGAGGAATATGCTACCATGAGGTCTAGCACATCCACTCACTCATGTCATTACAGGTTAGCTTTGCTGGCAAGCAGTATAGGGTGGCTTAGAAAGAACCACCTTTCAAGCTCCTGCCTGTAATTCTTGCTACTCAGGAGGATGAGATCTGAGAATCTCAGTTCAAAGCCAGCCAGGGCAGGAAAATCCATGTATCTCTAATTAATCATCAAAAAGCTCGAAGTGGAGCTGTGGCTCAAGTGATAGAGTGCTAGCCTTAAGCAAAAAAGCTTAGGAACAGCACCCAAGACCTGTGTTCAAGCCCCAGGATCAACACATCAACACACACACACACCATCCCACTCCACTCCACACACAAAGGAAAGGGAAAGAGAGAATAAAAAAGCTAGGTTTCAGCTGGGTGCCGGTGGCTCATGCCTGTAATCCTAGCTACTTAGGAGGCTGAGATCTGAGGATCGAGGTTCAAAGCCAGGCCGGGCAGGAAAGTTCGTGAGACTCTTATCTCCAATAAACCGCTAGAAAACCAGAAGTGGTGCTGTGGCTCAAACGGTAGAGCACTCGCCTTGAGCTGAAGAGTACAAGGACAGTGCTCAAGCCCAGAGTTCAAGGCCCACGACTGACCAAAACAAACAAACAAACAAAAAAACCAGGTTTCAGAGTCAAATAGTGCCCAAGTCTGATTTTGGCTCAGCTCAAGGCTGGTAGCCTTTCAGAACCTTCCTTTCATAATGCATGAAATGGGCTAATATTCCAAAACTTGCAGGGCTATGCAGAAAATTAGAAGTGAGGTATGTATCTGGCACCAAGGGGCTTCACAGTAAATATGTGGTTCATATGATTACTATTTGTTGCTGGTACTCCTGTGCCACATGGAGGGGAAGGCATTTGTTCAAGCCATGCAGGCCATAGATGTTTCAAGATACCTGAGGTGAGGTCCCTGTCCACCAGGCAGCTTTGGTGGGAGAGAAATAAAATAACCACCACACAGATCCTAAGCAGAAGGCTGCCCAGGGCTTGTGTCTCTGGAGTCACAGCTTCAAGGACACCGAAGCCCAGCTCTTCACAATAACTGTGAAATCTCCTTTTGATTTGGCAACAAACCCCTCCACCTGGTGTAACTTAATTTGAGTTATGGGAGTGGCTGTGAAGGAGCCCCAGGTTGTGCTCCAGAGGATTCCAGAGGCTGTGCTCTTGGCACAGAGGGTATGGAGCTGCTGCCAGATCTGGTAGGCTCTGTACCAGCTGAGGAGGAGGCAGTTAAGAGGGCCAGCTAGGTAGAAGGGCCCAGCCTGAGAAATCCAAAGTCCCACAAAGACTCAGAACAGCAGCTGTCTGGCAGTTTCTGCAAAGGGACAGACTAGTGGTCTATTTGCATTTTCTGAATACTTTGTGCCCGCTGGACCAGAGCTTAATTTAAGTATAAAAGGAAGAGGGTGACTCTCACCTGGCCCTAGGGCTTTGATAATCTTGGGGTTAGATAGACATCTGGAGTTGGAAGGAGAAGCTGCTGTTTCCACAGCCTCCTAGAATATCTTGCCTTAGAATTTACATCATTCAAACAAGGCTGAAACTGGGCTCCGGAGTAGGAGAAACACTGACTGAAGTTCATGCAGCAGGTCGGCTGCAGATCTGGACTAGAATTCGGGTGTTCGGCAGCCTAGTCCTCAGTTCCCACCACAACTATAAGGTAGATTTCAAATTTTCTTCCCAGCAGAGCTGTGTTTATGGATCAAGGAAGAAAGGGGGCGTAATGGTAATTCTGAATCTGGCTGCTGCTGGTAGCAGGGTGTGTGGGCTCTGCAGTCTGAGATGTGGGGACAAATTCTATTTCCAGCTATGTGACCTCAGTTTTCTCATCTGCTAAGTGGGGACCTAACCCGACCAAAATGAGTTGTTGTAAGGACTGAATGGGACAAAGCGATGCGACGCCTAGCACAAGCGGCTCTTATCGTTTCCAGCTCCTTCCTCCAGCCCGCTAGATACCTCTGACCCCGCTCTGATGGAGACTGCCTGGCAGCCTCCAGAGATGAGAAACGGGGCCTGCATTCAGGCCTCGACCCTAGGTACTGCCGGGCCGTCTAAGCCTAAAGCGCCGGGGCAACTGGGGTGGGGGGGAGGGAGGTTCACCCCCAGCAGCACAACACAATCCTCGGGGCACAGCACAATCTTGGGATGCGAGATTCTCGGTGCAACAGCACTTGTCTCGCTCTGGAGCTGCCCTCTCAAGCCCGCCACCTCCTGGAACGCCGGTTCCCGCTTACCTGACTCGCCAGAGCTCCGAACCGCTGGCGCAGCCACCGCGGTCTCCCGACTCCAGGCTCCGGGTCCCACGTGGGGGCGGGGCGGCTCACCCGGAAGCAGCTCTCCCCCCCCCTCCCGCCCGCCCCTCATAGCGTGAAACCACGCCCTGCATGGGCATTCAAGGGACAATTGGCCAGTTCCCGCGAGGCCCCTCCCGCTCCCCGGCCAATCGGATATGCCCTCGGGCTTCAGAGCCACCCCTCCGGGTGCTAGGACTTCTCTGGCGCTGGCTGGACCACAGAGCTACCACGTGGGCCCGTTGGATCTCTGCGGGAGTGTGAGGCGGGCTTAACCCTACCTTCACCCCAGCTTTCACCCGAGTTCACTTTGCAGTTCTGTTACCCTCCCCGGGCCAACTTGGCTCTGGTTCATTGATGAAAGAACAATGAGCATCAAGGAAAACACCACCACAATGGCCTAACACAATAACTTAAGTCCACTTTCGCAGACTGAGCACTTTAGAGTTGTTGAGTTCAGCATCAGACTGTTTTCTCATTTCAGTGAGAATTTAATCCAGCGTAACTAATTTACTCAGAACCTAATCTGTGCCATGGGTTGGGAGATGGGATATGAATAGACAGGAGAATTAAAAAAGCAAACCAAAAAAAAACCTTCCAAGTCAGACAGGGGCTTCAGACAGGACAATAATGGGTACGTTAAAATCTGACCGGAGGTCTGTGGGTAGTGGTTTTGGAGCAGAGTATGTGCAGGGGCAGCAGAAAGCGGTTTGGTGGTTATAAAGGACTGGGAAATGTCTTGAAGCTAAAGGTAGTGTTGTTTAACACCAAATTGTTCACTTAAACATGTTATAACTTTATGTTTTGTAATTTTTTTTCAACTCTTGAAGAAAAACCCACTAAATGCAATCTGATATTCTACAACTTGTTAAGAGAAAAAGGATATGAAAGACTGGTTAAATACCAGAATAGTGAGATTAATCTTTGTCAATTTTGACCAAGTGTACCATAGTTCTAAAAGATGTTAACATGAGGAGAAAGTTGGATGAGTATATAATTCTACTTTGTAACTTAAAAAGTCTTTGTAGCTTTTTTCGTAAATCTAAAATTATTTCAAGACAAAATGTTTATTAAAACAAAAGCCAGGAGCCGGGCCAAAGACCACCGAGACATAATCCCAATTTTCATAAATTAATGGTAAGATCTTAAATCAATTCTCTCTAAAAAGCCTCAACTTCCCATTGGTAAAAACACAAGACTAGGGTATATAAGTAGTTTTGAATGGGTTAGGATAGAAATCCTTTTAACATCCAAATATAGATTACAATCTCTGGGCATGTATGGCCTTGCTAAAGGTGTAACATTACCTTAGTAATAAGGGCTGGAGGTGTGGCTTGTGTACCTGCTCAGCTTGCACAAGAGCTTAAGTTCAAATCCCAGTATGACCCCCTCCCACCTCCCTAATCCCAATACTACTATAGGAACGATGGAGGTGTGTTTGGGAAAAACTGATGGCTGTCCTAAGATTTCTCTCAGTTGGTAAGTTTTGTAGCTTAAAATCAGCAACATGTTTTTCTTAGTAAGTTTGCTAAGGGATGGAGCAGAATTCATGAAATTGTTTTCTGACTCATTCTTGACTAGAACACAAACAGCTTTATATAGGAGGTTAGAATAGATGGTAGTGAGCCTGCCTTACTCAGTCTTAAGTATAGATTTCATTTCATAGGAAGCAGGTGGGGATTGTAGTCGTCATGTTTCAGAAAGGATCCAATTGTCAACTAATACCCAGGGGAAATTAGGGGATGCAGAGATGAAGTTAGACACTGAATTCAGAGAAAATCAACATCCAGATGAGACTGGGGATTAGCCTACAATGGTGCTTGTAGGGGTTAAGAAAGGATGTTTCTGATGATGAAAATGAGGGGAAAAATCACCTAAGTGACCACTGAGTTGAATCTTTGTGAAACTTTCTTGAGAAAGGGTCTTAACATGTGATACAGGCTGTCATACAACGTTCAATGATCCTCAAGTGCTAGGATTACTGCCATGTGCCATCATGCCCAATGTAACTTTTACAATTTGATTTGAGATCTGATAGCTATGTAGATTGGATAGGTAGTAGAGTTGTGATTAAGAAATAGCAGAGGTTAAAGCTGGGCACTGGTGGCCCACACCCATAATCCCAGCCACTCAGGAAGCTGAGCTCTGAGACTGCGGTTCAAAGCCAGCTGGGGCAGGAAACTCTGAGATGCTTATCTCCAATTAACTACCAAAAAAGCTGGAAATGGAGCTGTGGCTCCAAGTGGTAGTGTTAGCCTTGAGCACAAAAGCTCAAGAACAGTGCCCAGGGCATGAGTTCAAGCCCTAGGACCAGCACCAAAAAAAGGAGAAAAACAAGTTTAAAAAGGAGGTAACAGTAATGCTACTATATAGGCTTTAAGATTTAACTCCTGAAGGCATTTAAAGCAGTCCTAGACACAACAACTATTCACGAAGTCACGAAAGCATTTGTTCTGGTATTAGAAGAGCAACACCTACTGGTCATCCAAGGTGATATAAGACCCAATGTTACAAAGGGCTGGCCCAGTCCACATTCCACATGATCAGTAGGTCCTCTCCAAAACCAAACTCTGAGTCATCACTTTAAACAAGAATGTTCTTTATTTATACAAAGCATTACAATCTTCTCAAGTCTTCAGTCACTTATCAACAAACTTTTCACTGTATTCACTTAACAAAAAGCATCCAACTATATTACACTACCTGCCAACCCCAAGTGCTCAAGTAAAACAAGAATGTGCTTGGAGTACTGAATGGAACAGAAGACTAAGAAAAGCCAATGAGGATACTTTAGAGACAGTTAAAGGAGAAGGATTTGTGTGTGTGTGTGTGTGTGTGTGTGTGCACGCATGTGATTCCTGAGCACCATCATATTTCCTTTAAGGTTGAGGAGTTTTATAAAACCATTTTTAAGACATGACACTAAGGAACCAGAAGAATCTGAACCTTGGGATACAAGCAGGTATTCAAAGTTCCCAGACTGGCCAACAAAGTGAGTAAAAGAAAGTGGGACTAGAAAGCAGAAAGGTAAAAAGAAACAAAGAGAAGCATAGAGGGAGAAAGTTGTGTTTAGGAGAAATAAATTCTAGAGCTTGTCACAAATTAAGAGAATGCAAAGCCACACCCAGTCTGGGAAATGGGAACGAAAAAGCCTGGGATTTTACACCTTCCAGGAGGTGATAATCCCAAAGCTTTACAGTGGTAGGCAGTGAGGTACATGCAGCACTAAGTCATGTGTTTTGTAAGACCTCAGTGGCACCTTTGCATGACCAACTTTAATCTCCACTGCTACTTTAAGCCCATAAGTGCCCAGAGTGCAGCTACTCCACCAAGTTAAATGGGCGGGTAATAAAGAACTGCAGCAAAGTGGGCATAGTGAAAAACAAAACAATGTTATTGTGTCAAATAAAGAGATGGCAGATTGGATTTCATTATTCACCCAGCGTCCCAGTAGTTTCCTAAAGCTGAAACATTCAGACTACTATTCTTTGGTGCTAGGGATGGAACCTAGGGCCCTCCATAGCGGCACATGCTAGGCAAGTGCTCTATTACTCAACTATATCCCCAGCCACCTGCCCATTCTTAATAAGCTACTATTGCCAAATACTGTACAATCAAATGTAGGCTGACCATGATCAAAGCCCCAATTCGTCCTGAGCCTTCACTGCCCCTGTGATCTGAAACACAGCCAGCAGCATGGAAATTATTATTACTTTTATGGAGGGACAGGGAGACAGGGATCAAAACACTACCTAAACCTACACTTAAGTAAACAGAAGATTTCAACTGGCCAATTTAATCAGCTTTCAGAAGCCTCCTTACTAAAAAGTCATAACTTTCAGACCAATCAAGCAAATCAGGATTCTGCTACTCAGATGTTCTGAGGCTGGGAGAGCTGGTTTGGATAATTCTATTCAGTTTTTATTTTGATCTCAGGCACTTGTGCCTAAGACCACTTACCCAGCAGGGAAAAGCTTCATATAAACACAGGATATTTCTAGATGGTATCTTCTACAATGCCATCCTGCCCACCCTATTCAGTTGTCTACTTCCTCCTCTTCATTTTGCTCATCTTCTTCCAGTCTTTCTTCATCTTCATCATTGTCCTCATCCCTGCTCTTGTCTGGCTCTTCTGAATCTGTTTTTTTGTCTTTGTCCTTCTTCTTTTGCTCTGAGGCTTCCTTCTTGCCTTTCTGCTCCCGCCTATATGCTGTTAGGAAGGATAAATGGGGTTTTCTAGTGACCTTTGCTATATTTCTTTGTTTTATAAATACCTATAACAAACCGGGCGCTTGTTATAGGGAGAAGTGGGGTTAGAAGGCAGAACTGGAAGCATGAAGTGGACCATGTAGCCATTATATAATAAGAAAAATGGAGGCACAGAGGAACAATAAAGAGCTCAGCCTCCCAAATAACTGAGATGGTACCAACTAATCTTTGTGGCGTCAACCCCAGTACTGACTTATTGGACCTCAAGGTAAGTATACTGAAAGCCTCAAGACTGGGTGATCAAAGCACAGAGGATGAACATCTTCATGATTGAGAAAACAGAAGGGATACCTTCTAGAGCTTCTTTTAAGGGGGTAATGAATCGCTGGAACTCCATCTCTTCCATGGCGGAGAGCACATCACTAGCATTGAGTGTCTTGCGCTTCCCTTTCATTGCGAAGTTGTTGGCACTGGAAGAAAGAGAAGAGAAAGGCCATCAGAGATCAGAGGCTGGCAGACTCTCTCCTGCCAGGTGTGGAGTGATGGGAACCAGTACACGCAGAGTGGGGACGGGGGGGGGGGGGGAGAAGGTCGTGTACATCCTAGATGTATGGGCTTTTGTGTGACTTGAGTTAATCCTTCCTTTCCCTGCACAAAGGGCGAAGGCAGAAATTATGTTTACTTTGTTCCAGAACTTGTAGAAACTGCAGGAAGCTCTCTCTCCTCCACGGATTCATTACTGGGGTCTGTGTGTGCCAGGCCACCAACTGGAGGCAGGTGCTCTCTGCGCTCCAGCAGTGCCCTGGGTAGCTCCGCCGCACTCACCAGGACGTGGCATACAGCACGAAGACGCTGGCGGCGCGGGAGATGGCGCTCCGGGCCTCCTTGGAGATGTTGACTCCGTCCGGGAGCTGTAAGGAGAGCGGAGGTGAGCACCAGTACCAGCCCAGGACCTGCTTCCCGCCCGTCCGCCCTGACCCATCCGCCAGCCCCAGCAGCTCACCGCCTCCTTGATAATTCTAGTGATGACAGCGTTGGGCAGATTTAGGTCCTCGGGCCTCTCTGCCATTGCCACCGCCAGGGCCCGAGCTTTCTTCGCCCCAGGCCTCCTTCTTCAGGGTAGCACAGCGTCCGGACTTCCCGCGTCGCTGAGGTTTGGCCCTCGGACGCTTCCGTCCCACCCCACGTTGCTCACAGTGTCCCACAGTGCCCCGCGCGCCACACCTTCCTTCCTGCCGTAAGCCCGCCCTCGCTTTCAGTGGTCGGAGCATCTGAACTCTCCAGATATCCGCATTTTTGGCCCATTGGGGTTTCCGTCCGAGCCAACGTAGCGTTCACTTTCTCCCCCAGGCTTTCTCTGTCTGTCTCTCTTTTTTGTGTGATTCACATTATCACCACGTCAGGAGCTTTCGCGTCCAATGAAGTATGCCTCAAGAGGCTTCCGTTCATTCCCCACCGTGCTTTGCGCGGCTACTTGGCGACTACAGGTCCAGGAAGCTCTAGCGTGAGCGGCGAAGGCGTGTCTGGAGCCGGCTGGGCGGGATCTTTCCTACAGGAGGCGGGTTGATAGGCGGAGCCTTTCCTGAAGGAGGCGGGTGATAGGCGGGGCCTTTCCTAAGGGACACAGGCGTTGTGGGCGGGGCATTTACCGACCGGGGGCGGGGGGTGGGGTTACGGGTGCGGTAGGCGGGGCCTCTTGGCGGGAGCGGCTGCCCAGCCAGAGACTTCTCTTCCCCGCGGGAGCTGGCTGCACGGTCTCCCCAAGATTCCGTTATCTGCTTTGGTCCCCCAACAGGAGTCCCCATTATTTTTTCCTCGTTTGAAATGAAACGAGACCTTCTTGGGTTCTTTTCCCCTTTCAAATCTACTGGAGCAGTTGTCCATTCTTCTTACCTCGAGCCTTTGTAATGATCGCATTAAGTGTTACGCAGTTTTGTTGCTTTTGTTTTTAACGTGAACTAACAACGCGGACAAGATGAACCTGATGAGATCGCGGAGTGCCATGCAGTCCAGACAGGTAACCGAGGGGCGAGAAGCGGCAGCTTCAACGAGTCATGCAACCGCTCCTAGACATTCACAGATCACCCCTGTCAACACTGCATTTACTGTTTAGTTCTTGAAATGGTCCACCGTGCATCATTTCCAGTCAGAATCATTACCCACGTGTCGCATTGGCGTTTTAAGTTATATTAATGTCAGGCTCAACCCCCCCCCCCATCTGTCCCCATTCTGGGGATTGAACTCAGGGCCTTTCACTAGCTAGGCAAGTGCTCTAGCGCTTGACACATACCCCTAGTTTGTATTTTTCCCCCCATATTTAATTGCATAGAAACTCTCCTACTGAGAACATTATAGTGCAGCTTTTCTCCTCCTTGAAATACACAGTCTTAAGGCTCTTGTTTTCCTGCCTTCTGTGGAGCCATGATTATAGCGATGTGTTTCCCTATTTGGAGAAACAACAGAGCATTTCAATGATAAATTCCCACTGAAACTGCTTCAGTGAGACTGTTGGTCTGGTGTGGAGAACTCTGCACTTGGACAGAACAGACCTGGCTTAAAGACTTCAGTAGCTGTTCAGTTCCAGTCACTTGCTCTTTAGTTGGCCCTGTGTTGTCAGATGTTTTGATCTCTAAGAGGAGCCAGAAATCTGGACATTATGGACTATTCCAGTTTTAAAATACTGGCTCAAAGTGCCTATCAAACAAGTCATGGGTCAAGTGCAATCCCAGGCCAATAGTTGGTTATCTCTGATCTAAATTGTTACAAGTTGTTTAGAATAAGGAGTTTGTTACTGTTTTCCATGCCCCAAACAAGGTCCTCCTATGCATTTTGTATTCAACAAATGTGAAATGGGCAATGTCCTTATAAAGTAAACTGGCTCACATCTGTAGTCCTAGTTACTTAGAAAGCAGAGATCTGAGAATCAATGTTCAAAGTCATGTTAGGCACCAAAATCCATTACCTCGTCAAAACGCTGGAAGTGGAGCTGTGGCTCCAGTAGTATGATACTAGCTTTGAGTGAAAAAAGTGAAGGGATGGTGCCTAGGGCTTGAGTTAAAGCACAGAAAATAGCTCTTGAGGATAAGGTAGTAGTGGTTGCCTAAAACATCTTAGAGAAAGAAAGTTAATATTTATCAAGCACCTATTATATATAATACACAACAGTGTAGTATCTCATTTAACACTACTATGATCTTCTTTAAGACATCTGTTCCTGAGGAAAACAGGCTGGGAGGGATGAAGTTACTTGGCTAAGGCCATATACCCAGTCCACAGAAAGACAGTGACTTGAGAAGCAATGGCAAATCCACTGATTTGCAATTTGAACAAGCCTATTCACAATTGGTAGATGTCTTACCTGCTTCATGGGAATTGGAGTGTATTGAAAACGGAACCACATCTTCCAAAAGTTTGAGCCATTAAAAACACTTATGTGACTTCATTGATTATAATTTCAGAAGGCCTTTCAAAAACGGTGACCTCTTTTCACTGATGATTAATGAAGAGAAAAATGAAAGGGTGCCAACATTTATTCTGAACTAACTGTATGGCAAGCTTTTTGTTTTGTTTTTGTGGTCATGGGGGCTGAACTCTGGGCCTGGGCACTGTCCCTCAGCTCTTCAGCTCAAGGCTAGCAACCTACCACTTGAGCCACAGCACCACTTCCAGACTTTTTTCTGCTTATGTGGTGCTGAGGAATTGAACCCAGGGTCTCATGCATGCCAGGCAAGCACTCTAAACTGAGCCAACTTCCCAGCCCTGTATGACAAGCTTTTTAATGCCTACAACTAATTGTAATGATTAGGACAGACTTTTCCTCATTTTACAGATGAGGAAAATGAAGCTCAGATTGCTTAAGTCTAGACAGTTGGCTGTTAAATGGTCCACCAGGAGATCTTTTGCTCTCCATACTTCCTATTGGACCTTGCCCTGAGATATTTTCATCTATATTTGTTACCTGTCCTGAATTATTCTATGACCATCATATACCTAAATGGGTTTCATAGAAGTATTTTATTATTTGAATCCCAGTTAGGACCTAGACTATCTAGCTACTGTATAATATTACTCCTCATTTATGCAATTCTTGACTCTCCAGCGACTAGAAAAGTACAGGATTGGCCTTCCTTCTAAATCACTGATGGTCATGAACTTGCCGGATGATAGCCAGTGGGATGAAACCACCTGTGACCAGGCTGTCTGTCAGCATCCGCAATGCTGGGCATCTATTCGCCGCGTTGAGAGGGGCCATCCTCGAATCATGGGAGCACCTGACAAATCCCCCCTGGAAGCTAGAGGTGAATAAGCTAGTTCTGCCTTCTTTGTCACAAGATCCTTAAAATGTTTCTGTTTGGCTCCCTTTCTCCATGTAATATCTCCCATTCTTTCTTCTGGTCTGCTTTCTCAGAAAAACTCCCAGTGCTCACTATTATGAACATGTCAGATTCCAGCTTGCAGACCAAGCGACTTGCTAACCAACAGTTATCACACTTCCCCTATAGAAAGACTTCATTGTCTCCGGGTTCAAAGCTTAAATATAAACATTCCAGCAGGTAAATTATCATGGAATCTTCTTAGTAGACTGCTTCTCCAAATTGTAGTTTATGATTTTCCCTTACCCTCACAGTAGGCTTTGAGAACTCTGAATGAAAAAGGAAATAGTCATTCAGTTAAAGAAGTAGTGACTAAGCAGGGAAAAACAAACAGAAGACATACCTGCTTATGTTTTAGGATTTGGACCATTTGGGATTTAGACTGCGTGGTTTAAAGAATGAAATTCATTTCTTTGGATTAGCCTTACATATATTTATTCATATGTTTAGTACTGGTATCAGAGCTTTTTCTTTTATTATTATTTTTGCTTTTATTGTTATTATAAAGGTGTTATACAGAGGGGCTACAGTTACATAAGTCAAGTTATAACTTTTTTGGAAGAATGTCATCCCTTCCCTCGCTCTCTCCCAGGAAGTTCATTTTCTTTTGAGTGCCAGGAAATACTTCTGCCTAGTAGTTCCTAACTCAGGGCACTTTCATCTATACAAGTGGCATTGATCCCAACATCTGAAGTTTGAGCTGACTGCTGAAAGTGGGGATTGTGTGCAGGAGGTGAACTGGAAGAGAGTTCTAAACAATAGCATATGTAAAGGCATGAAGGACAGAAGAAATCTTTTTTTTTTTTTTTTTTGGTGGTGGTGGTGGGGCTTGAACTCGGGGCCTATACACTGTCCCTGAGCAATTTTACTCAAAGCTAGTGCACTAGCCCTTTGAGAAACAGTGACACTTTCCATGTTCTAGCTGTTAATTGGAAATAAGCATCTCATGGACTTTCCTGCCCTGACTGGCTTTGAACCATGATCCTTGGATCTCAGCCTCCTGAGTAGCTAGGATTACAGGTGTGAGTTACCAGCACCTGACAGAAGACATCTTTTAAGTACTATTGAACTATGTATCTGGCCCATCCAGCAGGGATGGGGCTTTACAAATCAAGCTGAAAGTTGGAAATTTATTTTATGCTTCTACATTATCCTTTCATTTATAAATTTAAGATGTCTATAAAGTAAGGGAAACAATAGTATCTTTATTATTGTAGGATGTGTAGTTGATAATTTTTTTGTTTTTTTAGACATGGTCTTGTCATGTAGCCCAGTGCTCTAAATATATATGCTCTACTATAATGCAGGTTGGCCTTGAACTCACAATTATACTTCAGCTTCCTAAGTGCTGGGATTATAGCCATACATTTCCAGGCTTGGGTACAATTTTCACACGTGTGTGTGTGTGTGTGTGTGTGTGTGTGTGTGTGTGTGCATATGTGAACATTCAGAGCTATTGCTTGTTGTTTTTTTTCCTCAAGGGTAGGGCTCTACCATTGGAGCCACACTTCTACTTCAGGATTCTTGCTGGTTAATTGGAGATTAGAGTCTCACTGACTTTTCTGTCCAGATTGGCTTTGAACTGCATTTCTCAGATCTTATGCTTTGGAGTAGCTAGGATTACAGGTGTGAGCCACCAGCACTTCGCAGTTTTCACTATTTTTAAGTATAACTAATTGGTAGTAAGTATATTCACCATGTTATACAACCATTACCACTATCCACCTCCAGGATTCTTATCATCTCAAACTATATCCATTAAACCATAATCCTTCATTCTCTCTATTGAACCCTTAGTAATCCCTACTCTATTTACTGTCTCTTTGAGACAGGTATCTAGTCTGGGTACCTAATATAAGTGAAATCATGGGAATCTGTCTTATTATATCTGGCTTGTGTCACTTGCTATAGTATTTTCTGATTCATCTATGTAGTAGTTATGTATCAGAATTCCATTATATTTTAAATCAGTAAAATTCTCATTTCTTTAGGCCTCAGAGGTTACCTAACAAAAATGAGATGAATCAAATTAAGTTTCCAAAAGTAAGTTGTAAAATAAAAAGGTAACTCTTCTACATTTTCTCCTTATTTATGGAAAAAAATAGTTTGCTTTTAACATTGTTTTTCAGAATCACTATAGCTGGAATAATGATAGCACTGTCTAGTATTGTGACTTAATGTGTGTAAGGCTCTATAATAACAGCTTTATAGGTTAATTTTCAGAATCCCAGGCACAAGATGGATTGGTTTGTGAAGGTTTGGTATAAGTTTCCTGCTTAGGGGCAAAGCAAATAGTTGTCTCATAGTCAGAAAATTAAAATGCTGTAATATCAAACCTAAAGTGAACCTTAGGTCATCTACTCTGATGACTTTCAAACATACATTTGTTTATTTATATATTTATTTACTTACTTATCAATCATAGGCTTGAACTCCAGGCCTGGATGCTGTCCCTGAACTTTTCTGCTCAAAGCTAGCACTCTATGGCTTTGAGCCACAGGTCCACTTCTGGTTTTCTGGTGATTAATTGGACATAAGAGTCTCAGGGATTTTCCTACCTGGGCTGGTTTTTGATCTGAGGTCCTCAGATCTCAGCCTTCTGAGTAGCTAGGATTACAGGCCTGAGCTCTCAGCTCCCAGCTGACTTTCAAACTTTTAAAAGTATTTATGGTTGGGGCTGGGAAGGTGGCTCAGTGGTAGAGCGCTTGCCTTGCATGCCTGAGGCCCTGGGTTCGATTCCTCAGCACCACATAAGCAAAAAGAAAAAAGCCGGAAGTGGCGCTGTGGCTCAAGTGGTAGAGCGCTAGCCTTGAGCTGAAGAGCTGAGGGACAGTGCCCAGGCCCAGAGTTCAGGCCCCATGACTGGACCCAAAAAAAATAAAATAAAATAAAAGTATTTATGGTTAAGAAATAGATTTATGGGCTGGGAAGGTGGCTCAGAGGTAGAGCGCTTGCCTTGCATGCATGAGGCCCTGGGTTTGAGTCCTTAGCACCACATAAGCAAAAAGGAAAAAAAAAGCCGGAAGTGGCACTGTGGCTCAAGTGGTAGAGTGCTAGCCTTGAGCTGAAGAGCTGAGGACAGTGCCCAGGCCCAGAGTTCAGGCCCCATGACTGGGCTCCACCCCCCCCAAAAGAAATAGATTTAATAACAAAAACATGAGATAATCTATATAGTGTTTAAGGGGGAGGTAATCTAATCGTTTTCTACTTTGGTTTATTCTAGTATTTCACTTTTACTTATTTACTTGTTTTTATTTTTATTTTTTTGGTGTCAGTAGTGGGGCTTGAACTCAGATCCTGGCATTCTCATTCTTGCTTAGTTTTTTTCTGCTCAAGACTGGCAGTCTATCACTTGAGCCACAGCTCCACTTCTTGCCTTTTGCTGGTTAAAAGTCTCAGACTGGCCTTAAACCTAAATCCTCAGATATCGGCCTCTTGAATAGCTAGGAATGTAGTCTTGAGACACTAGTGCCTTGCCTTCTCGCGCGCGCGTGTGTGCGTGTGTGTGTGTGTGTGTGTGTGTGTTTGTTGATCCTGGGGTTTGAACTCAGGGCATGAGTACTGTTCCTGAGCTTCCTTTTGCTCAAGGCTAGTGCTCCACCACTTGAGCCACAGATCCACATCTGGGTTTTTCTGAGTAGTTTATTAGAGATAAGAGTCTCAGGGACTTTCCTTCCTGGTCTGGCTTCAAACTATGATCCTCAGATCTCAGCCTCTTAAGTATCTAGGATTACAGGTGTGAACCACTGGCATCCAGTTCCTTTCCTCTTTTGAAAAACACTTTTTTTTTGGGGGGGGGGTCTGGTCGTGGGGCCTGAACTCTGGGCCTGGGCGCTGTCCCTCAGCTCTTTAGCTCAAGGCTAGCGCTCTACCACTTGAGCCACAGTGCCACTTCTGGCTTTTTTCTTTTTGCTTATGTGGTGCTGAGGAATGGAACCCAGGGCCTTGAGCATGCAAGGCAAGCGCTCTACCACTGAGCCACCTTCCCAGCCCTAAAAACACTTTTTTTTTTTGTCAGTCGTGGGGCTTGAACTCTGGGCTTGGGCACTGTCCCTCAGCTCTTCAGCTCAAGGCAAGCGCTCTACCACTTGAGCCACAGCGCCACTTCCGGTTTTCTGGTGGTTTATTGGAGATAGGAGTCTCACGGTCTTTTCTGCCCAGACTGGCTTTGAACCACGATCCTCAGATCTCAGCCTCCTGAGTAGCTAGGATTACAGGCGTGAGCCACCAGCGCCCGGCCTAAAAACACTTTTTTAACAGGTTTTATTATTCTATTTTTATTTATGCCCAAGAAGTACTTTGATCATATTCACTACCCCCACATATGCTTTTAGGTCAACTACTGAGCCATAATCTTTTTGGTTAACATAATATTGTAGCCTGATAGAGTACCAGCAAAAGCCTAACATTTCCAGCCATCTTGTTCTATCTTTCTCTTAGCTTTCAATATTGAATTTCAATGGGACAGAACTACCTTACTCTGAAACTGCCAGAAACATGGTTGTAGTCTGGATCCCAAAAGATGTAGAGAAGAAAGAGGGGTGAGTACCATGTCTAGAACTTGGAGACCTTTGACCCTTGTGTTCTGTACTTCCTCTTAGTCCTCTTCAGTCCTCCATTTTGTGGTCTCCCTTTCAGCCAGAGGCCAAGCTTCTGCATTTGACCACCCTGACATTCTGTTTTAATTCATTTTGAGATCATGCTATGAGACTTCTTCATATCAGATTCTACATAGCAAGAGGCAAATAGCATATAAACCAGGACTCAATTTATTTGTGAAATTAGGTTAAGAAATAAATTCTCTCTCTACTAGTTTATCTTTTGTTTTTGGCAATACTGGGTTTTTGAACTTGGAGCCTTGTTCTTTCTTTGTTGTCTTGTTCATGGCTGATGCGCTACCATTTGAACCATACCTTCAGTTTGGCATTTCACTGGTTAATTTGAAATATTCTCTTAGAGACTTATCTGCCTGAGATCTCCAGATCTCAGTCTCCTCATTAGTAGCTAGGATTGCAGGTATGAGCCACCAGTGCTGTGCAGTTTTTCTTTTAAAGTAATCCAGGGCATCCAGTGAAAGAGCTTTCAGTGAAGCATTTGAACCTCTGCTCTCAACCCCAAGGCTTAAGACAGTGGTACAAAATGAACAGCTTGTAGGGCTTGTGTATACAGTAGAGCCTGACAGAGATCATTAAGCAAAACCCCAAAGGCTTGCTAGGATTGACAGCTATGGGAAAAGTGTTTAGCTGGTGCTTAATGACCACTGAGGCTTTTCTATTCTTGTTAAGTGATGGAATTTCTTTTTAGTCAGTCTTTTTTTTTTCTTTTTGAACTCAGGGCACTGTCCCTGAGCTCTTTTGCTCAAGATTAATGCCCTACCACTTGAGCTGCAACTCCACTTCTGAGTTTTTCTGAGTAGTTTATTAGAGATAAGAGTCTCACAGACTTTCTTACCTGAGCTGGCTTTGAACTGTGTTCCTTAGATCTCAGCTTCCTGAGTAAATAGGATAATAGGCATGAGCCATCAGTGTCCAGTCTTTGTCAGTTTCTTTCTTTTTCATTTCCCTTTTCTTCTTAAAAAAAATCTTGTAAGCTAGACACCATGGCTCATGCCTATGATTTACTCAGGAGCTATAGTCTGGATGTCCTGACTTATAACTACCTTCTCTGGAATAAGAATCAAGGGTCTGGTGAGGAATTCTGTTCTACTAGATGTATATACAGGGAGAGAGAAGACATTGCAAACACAATCATGTCAGGTATATAATATAAATTTAAATTAATGCCATGAAAATGAGTTACTAATCTTGGTGCCAGTGGCTCATGCCTATAATCCTAGCTACTCAGGAAGCTGAGATCTGGCAGATTATGGTTTGAAGTGGGCTGGTCTGAAAAGGCTGTGAGACTCTTTACTTCAGTTAACTTAGCAAAATGCTAGAATGGAGGTATGGCTCAAGTGGTAGAGTACCATCTGTGAGCAAGAGAGAGGAATGAGAGCATGGGGCCCTGAGTTTGAGCTCTGGTGTCAGCACCAATTACTAGATTGTCAGAAAAAAAATATTGGGAACGGAATTTTGATGTGAGGATGAGGGATCTATTTAATAGCTGGTGTCTGGGTAGCTGGAACTGCTGGCTTCCAACCAGCCATCTTTGAATACTAAGTAGGAATCTTCATGGTCATTTTTCACAAATATCCTTGGTACCTCTCTTTAAGATGTCTGAGAAATAATTTGTGTCTATTCTCATTTTAAGCTCATATGAAAAGGCTTTTTGGCAGAGGATGAAAGCAAAAAAGAAATCACCAAGGGTAAGTTTGATGTCTTGTCTAATCCTTTATGATATTACTTTACTGGCCTTGTTTTTGTTCTCCTTTAAAGTCTTCCCCATTCTACTCTAGCCCTGATTCCTCTCTAAATGAACAAATCTGCCCAAGAAATCCCTTTCTCAGGAATAATTACCATGCCTCTTCAGACTCCTTTTCCCTATCTGTTTCCTGGAGGAAGGTGAAGGGTACCTTGAAGGAGGTGAGAGAAGGAACTAATGGGTACTCTGGGGGCTTCTGGTCTGTTAAACACTTCCTAACCAGGCGCTGATGGCTCACGCCTGTCATCCTAGCTACTCAGGAGGCTGAGATCTGAGGATCATGGTTCAAAGCCAGCCCAGGCAGGAAAGTCCTTGAGACTCTTATCTCCAATTAACCACCAAAATTCTGGAAGTGGAGCTTCTGTCTCAAGTAGTAGAGCGCTAGTCTTGAGCAAAAAGCTCAAGGATAGGGCTGGGGAGGTGGCTCAGTGGTAGAGTACTTGCCTTGTATACATGAGGCGCTGGGTTCGATTCCTCAGCATCACATAAGCAGAAAAAGCCAGAAGTGGTGCTGTGGCTCAAGTGGTAGGGTGCTAGCCTTGAGCTGAAGAACTGAGGGACAGCGCCCAGGCCCAGAGTTCAGGCCCCACGACCAGCAAAAAAAAAAAAAATGCTCAAGGATAGCACCGAGGCCCTGAGTTCAAGTCCTAGTACTGGCACATACAGATACACAAATACAGACATAGATATAGACATATATACACAGAGACATACATGCAGACACAGACACACAGATCCACACACATAGACACATTGTCCCCAAGAAAGCAGTCATAATATCAATGCATATCTTATAAAACTAAGAAAACTGAGGGGAGGGTTTGAGTTAGGAGAAATGGGAGAGAGTGATGAAAAGAGGTGACCCTGATCAAAATGCATTGTACTTATAAACGGATTTGTTGAATGTTAACTTTTTTGTACAACTACTTAAAGAAAAAAAATGTAATAAAAGACCCCAAACCCTCAAACCAAACAAACTATTATCCAAGTGATAGGATATAATTCCAGTGGACCAGGAGTTGTAAGACTTGGGCTTCCAGCCCTAATCCTGCCATTTCTGGGTAAATATGACCTGGGCTAAATCACAGAGCCATCAGAGACTTATATCAATGATAACAGTGTCTTGTTCCACTTCATTGGTTGAATCTGCCCCCTCTCCAGCCTTGCACTTGGCACATAGGCAAGCTTATTAGTTTGTTGAGTGAATAAATGAATGGCTTCTCCAGAAAAAAATGAAACAATCTCCATAGGTTTCATATATAGCACTATAGGTGGGTCTCATGGTGGAGAGGAAGTGGGATTGGCTGGAGTGGGTCTTGGAAAACAAGGAGATTCACATGTCAGGGTGAGATGTTGGTGGAAAGAAACAGGCTTAAAGAGATGACTTCAGAGAGTTTTTTTTGGTCGTGGGGCCTGAACTCTGGGCCTGGGCGCTGCCCCTCAGCTCTTCATCTCAAGGCTAGCGCTCTACTACTTGAGCCACAGCGCCACTTCTGGCTTTTTTTTCTTTTTGCTTATGTGGTGCTGAGGAATCAAACCCAGGGCCTCATGTATGCAAGGCAAACACTCTACCACTGAGCCACCTTCCCAGCCCCCTTCAGAGAGTTCTTTTCCAATGTTTCTCTTCCAGGAAAGCCAGCCACCCCGGCATCTCTCTGGAAGTCAGTACACCTCAACAGGCTCAAAAGTTCCTGGGGCGATGGTGCCTCCATCTTCCTCAGTACACATGCTTGAGAAATTGATATCAGAAACCACATCTGACTCGGCTCAACTTGATGGGGTACCTCAGGATCTGCTGAAGGAGGGGTGAGTGTCGAAGAGCTTTGGGGAGCTGGGGTCCAGCTCTTCCGTAAAGCTGAAGGACATCTAAGCAGTGTGCTCTCCCTGAGCAGGGCAAGCAAGCTGTCGCCCCACTTGCGTACTGAAGTCTTAGGCAGGGATGACAATTCTTGCTAAACCATTAGTGAACACTTCCCATCTGCTAGGTCCTGGGCTAAGCATACCTGTGTACTGTCATTTAACCCCTACCCAGAGGTAGGCACTATTCATAGATGAATTATGGATAAGGGGGAGGCAGAATGGTCTATATAATTTGGAGTGTGATAGCCTTTGGGTTTCATTTTCAATCTTAACTGGCTTTGTGAACACCAATGAGTTATTTAGCTTCTTTCAACTTTATTTTCTTTAGTGGCAAAAGGGTGCTATCTTCCCCTGTGTTGTTGGTGAACACAGCTCTGATTATGGAAGCTGCTTACAAAGGTGTTGCTGGATGAACACCTGTGGGCACCTTTGCAGATCCACCTCAGATTTAGAGACCTTTTCTGTCTTTGCCTCTGTCTCTGTCTCTCTGTCTGGTTCTGTCTATATATCTTTAGCCACACTCTCTGGGAAGAGCTGTTACTAATAGTCATCTGCATGTCCTCTTCAGCCTTTTGCCAGATGTGGATAGAGATGTTCCTTGTTCAGAGATGAAGATACAATTAGCCATGATGAAAAATAATCTGCCCTTGAAAAAGGCTAGACCCGGTAGTGCGATTTCTTCTAAGATGTTTCTAACTATACACGGCCTCACGCTGCAAGTAAGAGCCAGAGTGTACCAGGGGGAGAGGCCCACATACAAATCCAAACCCAGCTCTCCAGGTGAGGAAGAGCTGGGCTTACAATCCCTCTTTCTCTATCCTGCCACTCTGGATCCAGGTCCCACAGAAGGCTGGGCTTGTGTGTCAGTGAAAGCCAATGGAGGGGGAAGGGATGATGAGGACAATATCTCGATGTTTTCTGCTCTTCTTTTCCCATATCTCTTCCTTCCTGTATAGCCTCTGCGATGGTGCTGCAAAATGTGGGGTTTCCAAAACATGCTTGTTTTGAATAACTACACTTCTTTTCCTTCAGAGGCGTTCATGGCAACAACCTGAATATTTGATGAAGTCACAGAAGAAAGAAGGTAGAGGTGCTGGTGCTGGAGGAATTCTAGGCACCTCCCCTCACACTGCTCCCTAGCCCCCATCTCTCTTTTTAACTTGGTCCCTATTTAGTTATGTTTCTGGCCACAGTGCTTCAAGGCCATATGTAGAACTCAGGAAATTCCAGTTAGGAAGCAGTGCCCCCAGCTTTGGTCCTGACCAGTGAGGAAGAGTCATGGAGCAGGGCAGGCCATACAAGGTGGCCTTGTGGGGGCTGTGGGCCCTCCCAGAGAGGACAATTGAGCTGGCCCTCTGCTCACCAGGTTCCCTGAACAAGCAGCTCCCATCGTTGCTGTGGCACCAGCAACAGCTTCAGAAGAGGAAGGCAAAGATCTCAGCTAAAAAACAGAGTAGACAGAAGTCGGCAATGTCCAAGGACTTGCTAAAAGTGAGTGCAGCCCGCCATGGGAAGAAATCCTTGAGAGATGGGTTTTCCCTGTCTCCTCTCTGCTCATGGATATAACTGTTAAATTCTATATTTCCAAGTGCTTTGCAAAAATTTTACTTCCAAATGTTAATGTTGTTTGTCCTCATGGGTTTTAGGAAACTGACAAGGAAGCCAAGATTGTCTCAGAGAAAGAGAAAATTCCAGGTAAACATTTGATTGACATTCTTACTTCTCTCCCCCCCACCCCTTTCTTTGTGCCAGTACTAGTGCTTGGACTCAGGACCTGGGTACTATCCCTTAGTTTTTTGTTAAAGGCTGGCATTCTACCACTTGAGCCATAGATCCATTTGTAGCTTTTTGGTGGTCAATTAGAAATGAATCTCAGGGACTTTTCTGCCTGGATTGGCTTTGAACTGTGATCCTCAGATCTTAGCCTTCTGAGTAGCTAGAATTATTGGCATGAGCCACCTGTACCTGGTGCAATTGCCATTTATTCACTAGCCTGTCTATGGTAAGGAGATGTGTAAGGAATATGTGCTTTGTTAAGATGTATGGGAAGGCAGGAAAAGACATACATGCTTTTGTCATTTTGAGCTCTGCCTTTGTCCGGCTCTCAGAACTCTTCCGGAAATGCTCAAGTCAGTCTGTCTGGCCTACCAAGTACCATCTCCCTACTGCTTACTAAGGAAGGAAGTGGGCCAGATGTCACTTCCCATGGGGATCTGAGAGATGACTGTGAGTGTGAATCATAGGCAGGTGTCCCCAGGTCCTACCTTAGAAAAGAGAGTGAGATCCAAGTGCTGTAGCACACACTTGTAATCTCAGTTCTCAGGAGACGGAGGCAGGAGGATCTTGAGTTTGGGGCCAGCCTGCACTATACAGTGACACGTTATCTCAAGGGAAGAGCTGAAAGCAAAGCAAAGAACGCCAAATGATTTGAGGACTCAGAGTAGGAACAAACCCAGGTTTGGGGAGAGAATAATTCTGGAGGCCCATGTGCCAACAAGGCAGGGAATTTCTGGTGCTCTTCACTGGAGTCCCAGAAGGGTCCCAGGAAGCAGAGCTGCAGGGCCCTCTGGCTTCCCACCACTAGCTGCAGAGTTCAGAACACGGTTGGGAATCAGCACACACAGAAGGCAGTTGCCAGTTCACTGCAGTCAGCTCTTCCTTTTCCTTCAGTGTTCATGCTGGAGACCAGCAGGATCTCCTTTCACAGGACTGATCTTGTGTGAGCAGAGGGTTGAGCTTAGCCATGTTCCCCTGCCATTTCTCAGTTTGAGTTCAGAGGAGAAAGAACTCTTGCAGGGTTCAAGTGAGAGGTTCCTGAGGACTTCCCTTTCCCCTTCCTCCTTCCTTTCTCTTATCCCTTTCCTTTTTCCTTTTCTTCTGTTTTACACTAGTTCTAGGGCTTTAACTCAGAATTTCAGGCTCTTGCCTGGCTTTTTTGCTCAAAGCTAGTGCTCTCTTACACCTCTACTGCCTTTCTTTTGCTGGTTGAATTTGTCTGCTCCAGCTGGTTTCAAATTGCAATCCTCAAATCTTAGCCTACTGAGTAGCTAGGATTATAGACATAAACTATGGTGCCTGGCTCCCTCTTGTTTTTCTCCCCACCTCACTGTGCTCTTTGCTACTTCTACTGTCTTGTAACCTGAAGATGTGAGAAGGGTTCTGACTTTCTTGTGGGTGTAGAAGAACCAGGGCAGGGGTCCAGGGTGGGTGGTGACTTGTCCAATAGCACTCTATCCAAAGTGACCACTACTGCTCCCAAATTTCAATTGGGTGCCTTTTGCATCTCTTCTAGATGTCTCTAACAGGAGCTGTTTTGCTTAGTAACTGGGGTGCATTTTGAGTCATGTTCTTAGAGAAGTGTCATGTCCTTACTGAGTTGAGGGATTCATAGAAGAGATGGCTTTTGAATTGGATCCTGAATATGTCTTAGTTTTCCTGACATGGAAAAGGATTCATGGGAGTGGGAATAGCCTGTGCAAAGTCATCTTGCAGGAGCATGGCTGCTCAGTAAGCATGCATCATTTCAGCCTGGCTGTGGGTATTTCCTTCTTTCTTTCTTTTTTTTTTTTTTTTGTCGGTTGTGGGGACTGAACTCTGAGCCTGGGCGCTGTCCCTCAGCTCTTCAGCTCGAGGCTAGCACTCTACCACTTGAGCCACAATGCCTCTTCTGGTTTTTCTGCTTATGTGGTGCTGAGGAATCGAACCCAGGGCCTCATGCATGCAAGGCAAGCACTCTACCACTGAGCCACCTTCTCAGCCCCTTGCTGTGGGTATTTCACTGACCAATCAAGGTAGGTAGAGACTTGTCATAGATTGCACATGCATTTGAACTTTGTCCCTGAGAAGCTGTTAATACTCAATAACTAGGCTGTACCCCGGAGCAATTAGATAAAAATTCCTGGTATGGGGAACGAAGCCTCAGTTATCTTATTTTATTCTTTCTATTCATGCCAGTACTGGGACTTGAATTCAGAGCCTGTGCAATGTCCCTTAGCTTTTTTGTTCAAGGCTGATGATGCTCTACCACATGAGCCATGGCTTCCCCCCTGGATTTTTGGTGATTAATTGGAGATAAGAGTCTCATGGGCTTTCCTACCTTGGCTGGCTTCAAACCATGATCCTCAGACTTCACCTTTTTAAGAAGCTTAGGATTACACCTGTGAGCCCCTGGTGCCCAGCTCAGTTCTCTTTTAAAGCTTTCTAGTCCTCTCAGTATGCATCTACGTGAGAACCAGTGCTTAGGGTCCAACTGTCTTTTAGCATGATATCTCTGGTGATAGCTTGGAAAAAGTTTATTTACAGAAAGGGAGTTTGAGAAAGGAAATGAAGAGTGCATTCAGGGACCAGTTAGGGACACAGCTAGTGCAAAAGGAATGTAAGACTAGAGCCTTCTTTTCAGAAAGCTAATATGGGTATATTAGAGATGGCACAGGAAGCTGATATTTTCTGGCCATTCAAGCTGGCAAGAGTAGTCATGAATGGAAGCAGAGTTCTAGTTTCTCTTGCAACATGCTCTATGGAGAACTCCTGGGTATATGAACATACACATTGCCATCATCTCTAATTCGATAGCAGATGTGATTATAGCCCTGGTAAATATGATTACAAATAGAACTCAGAAGACCTGACATAGTGTGCATGTATATTCAAATATCACATGGCATCCCATAAATAGATATAACATTTTTTTGTGTGTAAATTGAAACAATAAAACAAAAAAGGAAATTAGAACGGTTAAGTCCTTTTCGTCTGCCATGCAATTCTGGTATGTTTTTGTTTATTTGTGCCATACCAGAACTTGATCTCAGGGATTCCAGCTTTGTTCAACTTTCTTGCTCACAGCTGGCATTCTTCTACTTAAGCTATGCCTACAATCTGGTATTTTGCTGGTTAATTGGAAATAAAGACTTTTCTGCCTGGGATGGCTTCAAACTGTGATCCTCCAGTCTTAGCCTCCTGAGTAGTGAGGATTCTTAGGTATGAGCCACAAGTCCCCAGCTCTACAAGTGACTAGGGATCAATTAGAAGTCCAATAATGGGATATGAAGCATCAATGAAAAGGTAATTCTTTTATGATTATTAGGTGATACAACTCCTTCAAGTGAGGAAAGTGCCCTGAAGCTGGAGCAAATGGAGAAAGCAGATGCTATGAGACTGGTGAGCATGTGTGAGGACTTCTGCCAGGGGCCACTTTCAGTTACCTCCCACTAAGTAACAAGTCACTCACAGTGCAAGCCATGGCCATTCATTCTTTTTTTCTTCTGTCTCCCTCCCTCCCTCCCTGTCTTCCTCCCTGTCTTCCTTCCTTCTTCCTTCCTTCCTTCCTTCCTTTCCTTCCTTCCTTCCCTCCCTCCCTCCCTCCCTCCCTTCATCTCTCCCTTCCCCCTCTCTTTCTCTCTTTCCTTCTCTCTTTGTCTCTTTCTTCTTTCTTTCATGCTGGTCTTTGGCTTGAACTCAGGATCTGCATGCTGTCCCTGGGCAATTTTTTCCCTCAAGGCTAGCACTCTACCATTTGAGCCACACTTTCACTTCTGGCTTTTTAGTGGTTTATTGGAGATTAGAGTCTCGTGGACATTACTACCTGGTGGCTTTAAGCTGTGATACTCAGATCTCAGCCTCCTAAATCACTGGGATTACAGGCATGAGCTGCTGGTGCTCTGTGGGATTCTTTATTTCTAACGAACTTGTGGGTTGAGTGGACCGTCAATCTACTCTTGCCTGAAGTTACTCAGTCACTATAGCAATGTGGAGCCCTTGGTTCTCTTCTATGACACATCTCCATATGGTTTGTTTAGGTTTAGTGATTGCCTAGGAGACACTTTCTTAAGTGGTAGGTCTGGAACTAAAACAGTGTCACTTCTACCACCCTATGTTGGTCAGAGGAGTCACAGTTGAGTCCAGATTCACAAGTGTAGAAATCGCATCTCTTCAAGAGAGGAGCAGAGTAACTGTTGTCAGTCTCTCTGGAGATGGTCCACCCTTAGGTGACTGACAGGAAACAGAAGTGAGTTCTGGCTTGATCTGGACAGCCTGGAAGGCGAAGTGTGTGTGCCTTCAGTACTGGGGGCTGGGTCTTTACTGTCTTAGATGTTAATTTCTTCAAGTCTTTTAGGAAAATCCTTTTAGTGTCCTAAGGTCTCAACTCACCTTTCCTTATTATATTCCAATGACTTTTAGGGTTCTATGGCAAATACAATGATGGATTACTTTGAGAACTACTTGTCTTTCTTCCCCAGTCTGCAAAGTAAGTCATTAGGATGGGGGAAAATTCATTAATGCCTGAGGGGAGGGAGAGCTGAGCCTCTGTTGGTTTGGATGGCTTAACTCCCTGGAAGACACAGTTCTAAGCCCTCACAGACATCCTAGAGTCTGTAAAGGCCTTACTTGCCAGTTATTTGGGAGCAGACTAACGGTATAATTAACGGATGGCTCTTCTTTCAGATATTGATGTGTCTGATACAGAATACTTTCGGAAAGACTCTAGTCCCACTAAGCAGGAGTCAGACTACTCTTACATAGAACCTAGTCCTAAGGAGCAGGATATATTGGAAATTCCAGTTGCCAGCCAAGAGACCGTCTTTACCAACTTTCCAGAGAATCCATCTGAATATTTCTGGAACCCTGAGCTCAAACTACTGAAGATAATTCAAGCTACTGCTGAGGAGGAGGAGGAGAACCAATTCTTGCTGCAGAGTGAGGAGTCTCTGGAAGCATAGGCACAGGCCCCACAGGGGGTGGGGGCAGCCTTGTCCTGGCAGGATGATCCACATACTGAAGGCAATGACCTTAGGCGCAGGGTAGAGGAGAGAGGGACTTTCACTCTCTGGAGCTTTTTCTAGGGTCTGAGTTTAGAGATACTGCATTATTTATTTGTACTACTTGCTTCTAAGCAAGCAAGTATCCAGCCCCTTGTAAACATAGATTTCTTTATTAGGGTCATAATAATTTCAGTCATTAAACACAACTACTGCACAATCAAAAGACTCATTCATTCTCTGTTTTTAGTATCTATTGCCTAGGTCACTTTTTATCTCTTTTTCTGAAGCTGATAGGGGATACTGCCTCCCCTTATTGTATTTCTAGATTTCCATCTCGTTTCCTGAAATGATTTCTTTTGAGATGGGGTCCACATCACCATTAAGTAATATTCATTGCATTCCACATATGTGGTACTGGACTCATGTTAACCTGGAAGCGCTTAATGCTCCATTTTCTAGGGAGCTGGGTTTGCAGGAAGTCTCAACGATGCTTATATAGACTCAGAATTCTAGAGCATCTGGAGCCCTTGTTATTTTGGGGGGGGACAGGATATAAAAAATGTTTTCATTCTTAAAAACTTTTAAAGTAATGTCAGCCTCCAATTGCTCATAACTATCATCTTAGCTACTCAAAGGGCTGAAACCTAGACCACCATGGTTCAAACCTTGGCAGAAAAGTACAGAACTCCCTCTCCAATGAACTAGCAAAATGCTGAGCTAGAGATGTGCCAACCAAGAACAAGACATCACCCTAACAACAATGGGAAGAAAAAAACACACAGAAAGCCTTTTAATATAGTACAGTTTCAAAGTGCATAAAAGTATAAAGAATGATGGAACATTCATGTTCCTCATACCTGGGGCCAAGAAATTCTTTGAAAATACTATAAGACAGAATAGGAGAAACATTAGAACTTATAAATTAATTTAAAAAATTCTTTGGGGCTGGGAAGGTGGCTCAGTGGTAGAGTGCTTGCCTTGCATGCCTGAGGCCCTGGGTTCGATTCCTCAGCACCACATAAGCAAAAAGAAAAAAGCC